CGGGGAAAAATAATGAGATAGAGGAAGAAGGAAGAATGCTAATTGTAAAATATTTCCTCGCATCCCGTGTCAGCCGCTCTTTCGACTTTTACTGACCATTTTGTTCTACTTATCCGCTCTTATTCCTTTATTTTTGCGTCTATTATGTGTCTCCGCTTTTATCTTTCTCTTCCATCAATTTTTTCATCTTCTTTTGTTAAGGAAGTAGTACGTACTTTTGTCCTTCGGAATATGCACGCGTGTGTACCTTGTGCCAAGGATACGTAGGCCGTTGCGCTTCATTTGACTTCTTCCTGTTGTACCGATGTACCGAGTCTTTAGTTTATGTTTTGTTTTGTTTTGTTTTGTTTTATTCTTTTTTCACTACTTTTACACGAATATAAGCGTTATATGATTTGTCATTTCTTTTCTTCGACATATAAAGTAAACGGGTAAAATAATTGATGCAGATTACCAATTTTTATTCAATAGAAATGCAAAATAACATTAATATCTTCCCTCTTGATCGTTGAGAATAGAATTTTTAATTATAAACACAGGCTGACTACTTATGCCTTATTTATATAATTCGTAGGATATGTAAATTTAAATAAAACATAAACTTATAGCACGTACAACGAAATTAATAAATAATTAATTAATAAATGTTTGTACCGCAATACACTAGCATAAATTATGTTCAAATATCTAAATGTTATTTTAAGCTGTCAAATATTGATATCAATAAAAAATAATGTAATCTTAAATTTGCAATTTCCAACGCTAGATATTTTCAATATCCAGAACATAATTTCAATCAAATATCAAATATTTAAGAGCACTTTACTCTGCCATTATTTTCATTAGCAGATATAACTTTCAATTACATTAGGTTAACGCAATTTATTAATAATTATACTGCTATATTTAAATAATCGCTTTATTAACAGCTTCAATTATTTTCAATGAAGAAGTTGAAGTTTCCTTCTCCAATTAAAAAAAAAAAAAAAAAAAAAAAATATTTTTGACAATTAATGCATCCTTATTGTTTCGTAACAATATTAATTACATCTTCAATGACAACGATATATGTTGGAACGTAATTCGTTTTAATTATTTAATAATATTTCATTACAGCAATTATGAGATTCGTCATGAAAAGAAGAAGAAGAAGAAAAAATAAAAAAAAAATGTATATATATATATATATATATATATAAATTTTTTTTTTATTTATATATATATATATATATATATATATAGAGAGAGAGAGAGAGAGAGAGAGAGAGAGAGAGAGAGAGAGAGAGAGAGAGAGAGAGAGAGAGAGAGAGAGAGAGAACACCTTCGATTGAATTGATTTATAAAGGATTAATAGTGTCCACATTGTGTAACGAAATAGCATCGACCGTCCACGTTATTTCGTGCACTTCAATCAATTTATTTCGCCGAAGGGAGTGAAAATCTTTAGAAGAAAATTTCAAAATTTTAAAAAATTATGATTTATAGTGATATTCCAGAGCAAAGGTTAAGGCGACTCGATGCCCCAGCCACGTCGGACATATTTATCGAACTCGAGGAGTATATAACTATCGTTAAGCAGTCACACTTACGCGCCTAGTCGCGTCAGCAAAAACTCATTCGGACGAGTTATTCAGTCGCAAAAGGAATTTGCTTTCATCTGCTTCGCGCTCGTAGCTACGAGTAAAATGAGAAAAGATTCCCTAGGAACGGCAGCTTCGCTTCGACTCGGAAATACGTGTAGCGTTTCGATATCGATCGCGTAATTACAATCGTCGCAATGTCACTCTGACACGACAACACGGATGAAGCACTCAAAGAATCCAGCGACCTTTCGTGACTTCCAAGAAGTCCGTCGATTTGATTACATTTAAGTCGTATCGTTTTGATATGCCTCAAGCTAGCTCGAAGGATATCATGTTCGTTCGTCAATTGTTCAGCTCCTTATTACGTTAATTTATTATTACAAGAACATTTGAAATCATAAAGAACATGTAATTTTAAATTGTAATTCAATGTAATTAAATAAACGAATGCAAATAAATAAATGAATAAACGAAGCTATACGATTTGCAGTATCTCGCAAGAATTCGAAAACTTAATCGAGCATTTAAAGATTTAATGTCTGTTACTTTAATCCGTGATGCTATTTTTTCATCGTAACATATGAAAATAATAATAATAATAACAAATGAATAAATAAATAAATAAATAAAATGTCGTATTGGATCTTTTTGGATTTTTAAGATATCAATTGATTGTATTTTGTATAGCTGTTCGTCTCGATTAACTAAACGATAACACATTGACGAATATTCGTATGCAATGTGCATTGGTAGAACTTAATCGAAATATCAGAGTATAAAGGAATCTTTATTATCATAGAATTTAATTGAAAAAAAAAAAAATAAGAAGAAGAAGAAAAGAATAAGAAAGTGATGCTAAACGCAATGTCGGTAAAATTTTCTGAGTCACGTTGAAAAAGAAAAAAGCTTGAAAGATAGCCCTTTCGTAAAATTATAATATTTTCAAATCTTTATAAATATTTACGAGCATCTCATTAACTATTTAGACCCAATTATAGATTTTTTACATTTCCTAGCCATAAGCTAAAGTCGATCGATCGATTAATCCCCTCGACGATCTGTCAACATTGTCAAATAATTATTAAAATTCTGGCAATAGGAATAACGATCCTCCCAATACTGATCGTCCGAGGCAATTAAAATTCTTAATCACTAGTAATAAACTCGTAAGCACAGCTCAAAATGCTTATTATTCACTCGTTTACACCCATTACGATTATAATCGTTCATGGGGCCTCGAATTCATCTTATCGCTTACTAACAGCTGCTCCTCTAATGTGATGAAATGTAGTAGCAAGAGGCGTGAGAAGGGCGAGGAGGAGGAGGAGGAGGAGGGGGGGGAGATAGATGTGAAACGATTTCATTCATTCACACGCACTCGAGTATGAGTGAGCTTATAATGAACAAGTTCATGTTGCTCGGACGATAACATTCAAATCGTTTAAGATGTCTATTACATATTGATAACACTGAGCACGCCATTAACAAGGATAATTGATGTATGATTTATCAGGATAACGATAGTTAAGATCTTAAGAAGGCGATTCGATGGTCTATATTCTTCACTGATTCCAACTCCAATAGTCGCTTCAACGGGATTTTACCTTTCATTTACCCTATATGTTCTTTTCCCTTTATCTTGATAGATTGAACCATCGTTTATCCTTTTTCATTTCTTTTTCTTTTTAAGTCTAATTACTCAATAGAAGCGCTTGAAAATCAGTTGCAGTACAACATACAAGTGGCAATATTCGAAAAATATTTGATCGATTTGTCTCCATAGCTCTCGCATCGCGATAAAGAAATCTTTCACATAATAAAATTACTTTACTTAATTTTCTTTTTCTTTTCCTTTTGTTTTTTTTTTTGTTTTTGTTTTTTTTTGTTTTTTATTTTTGTTTTATTAAAATTTAATCAATTCAGTTAATAAAATGACTCTTTATTGTCACGTAAATGAAATTTATAATGAAGTATATGAGTGCCGAATATGAATTTAATAGGATTTGATGAATTGATAATAATACCTATTTACTTGTTGGAAGACATAGCTATTTGTTTAAAAAATATTTTATTTTATAGCACAGAGGAATTATGAATATATGAAATGTATTAATGTGTTGATTAATAGTCGAAGCTATTAATATAGTTAATCAAATTTGACAATAAATCACTTTCAATGTGCATTTGAAAAATGTATATAATTTGTTCCGTTCGACCAAATAAATTTATTCACGCTAAAGAAATACACAAATTTCCCATGTTCGGTAGTTTAAAAAATTTTACATGGCATATGTAAATAACAACACTTTGTATTTCAATTGGCTTAAATTGTTACTTATCAAGAGCAATAAAACCGCTGCCGAATTATTTTATAATTACGTTCAATGCAAACATGAATAATTCATAAAACAAAAATCCTTCCTTTACTCTCAGATCTTGGAAAAGTCAACGATGAGGCCGTGGCTTCGACCAGACTATCGTCGATTCTTTGTAGGTTAACATTTTCTTCATATATCTTGATTCCTTTCTCTTTTCTTTTCTCTTTTTTTTTCTTCTTCTTTTTTTACTATTTTTCTTAGCATTCGTGTCATATAGAAACAATAATTTTTGTTCAAACGATTATTCCTCGTGAATTTTTAGAATGTTTTGAAGCATAGATCGATACCCAATTATTGCAAATTATATAAAGATACATTTATTACTTTTCAAAAGCTGATCAATTGCAAATGTATAATTGTCGATCTATGAATTTAAACTTCAATATTATCGTAAAAATTATTATATATTACATATAGATTTATAGTTATACTCCCCTTACCGAATGTCAATTTCTATGACTAAATTCCCTTATTTTATTATGTTACTAACGCACATTTCTCCATAGTTTTTATGATTCATTTATTGCATTCGACGCATCTGTACTTCATGCCTGACGTAGCTTGTCCTATAAATTTATCCGAATATAATTAAACGATAAATGTTTCTGTGTTAGAATAAGTAATTTTAGAAAATATCACTGTTATCCTATCCAAATTAATTTAATCTCGAAATTACCGTTCATCCTGTCCTTTACACTCAGTACTGTTTTCCTTAATAAATTTTAATTTTTAAAAATATCTGCTCGGCATTAACTTACATTTAACAGAAGTAAATAATATTTACCATACACTAGTTGATAATAATTAACGGGATTTTTGCGTATGAAGCAGATAGTGAGTAAATGGTAGTTAAAAAACAAAATATAAAAAAAAAAAAAAAAAAAAAGGAATTTCGCACAGAAACGTTGATCGTGTTGTTTATACTTTTTTTTTTTTTTTTTTTTTTTTTTTTTTTTTTATCAAAGTATGTCGATTAATATCAGGAAGAATGTGATCACGAAATAACTGAAATCTGTTTTCTTTCTCGTTTGTTTTATAGAAATACGTGGTTGGACCGAACGACCAAAAGGTTTATCCGTACGACCGCAACATGCCGCTCATCTTCATTGGTGGTGTTCCCCGCTCAGGAACAACGCTTATGCGTGCCATGATGGACGCTCATCCGGAAGTCAGGTTGGTATTGTGTTGGATACCTTAAAAAAATTCGAAGGTATAATACATTTATTTCCACAGCCCAAGAATTACGTAATTTGAACGTAGCTATTTATCAGCTATTGAAGGACAAAAATATAACGGGAGTATTAATTTGTTAATAATGAAATGTGTAAACATTACTCGATAACTTTTACACAAGTTTTAATTTACGACGAATTACGTATTTGCAATAATTACAAATTCTTTATAAATATCTATCAATGCAGAGCTTGAGAGTCTCTTAACGTTAATTATTTTATATCAATTTTAAATACCCTTTAATAATATATACATTACTTCTTTTTTATTCTTTTTTATTTATAACAAATCTGGTGATTATTATTTTTTCTTTCTTTTGACTTGCAATCATTTTTAATAAAGAAAATAATTGTCAATGCTCAAACTATTCGAAAATATTAAAAAGGTTTCGATATAAAAACTATTTGATAATATTTCGAAAATGTTACTTTGGAAATAAACGCACACACACACATATATATATATATATATATATATATATATATATATACATATATATGTCACTTATAACTTCAAATATTGTACCTTTAAATTTTCAAGTATACCATTGAAAATATTATTAAACAAAAATTCAGGGCTAAAAAAACTTCCGTTTGATGTTTAACTTATAAATAAATAAAAAACTAACCTTGTAATTATATATATATATATATATATTATAAATCAAAAGAGATATGGAATAATTATAAGATTTTTATTCTTTTAACAAATGGTGACGTTTGCATTAATCGGAGAATTTTTTATATTTCAAAATTTATTAAGAGAGAGAAGATAAAAAAATCTCCTGAATTTTTTTTTTTATAGACGATACAATGTTCAAAATTGAAGTTAAACTTTTAAACCAAATGGTTGGATATTCGTTGAATATTTCGTGCTTAGCCAATTTAAAAAGTGTAGCTTTTAGAAAAATGCATCTAAATTTTCAGTAGAGTTCATAACATAACATTGTCCGAACACCTTTCTCTCGTGCACACAACAACTGGAGTTTAAAATAACAATTTCAAATAGGAGACAACAAGAAGAAGAAAAAAAGAAAGAAATGACAAAGAATTCCTTCCCCTAATCGATATATTAGAAGCTCATCGGTGTACTTTAATCCTAAAATAAATGGATATTTCGAAAATCATAAGGCTACACCATAATAGCAAATATATCGATAATATAAGCATTATTTTCTTTAATGATTAATATATTGGTGTAGCCGTATAGACAGTCGATTGTCTTGAAATATATTGTTATTATATTTTATTGAAATACTTTTACGTAATTACTGGACAAAGAAAGATTGTATATTATTTGAGGTAGTGAGTAATTCTTTGATAAGACATATTTTTCAAATATCAATTATACTTCGGACGCTTCAGAATTTCAAATAATTTGCAATATATATCTTAAAAAAATTGACAGACAAATAATAAAGTCACTTTACGCGTATTATGCATTTGAATTGGCTTTTGATATGAAAAAACATCGGGCACTGCCTGCACCTCGACGACACAAACTTTTTTGTTTTTAAATACTCGTCACTTAAATTACTTGTTTGTTTTGTATTATATTTTAATTATAAAGTATTTAAGTAGGTGAATTAAAATTGAGCTTATATCGCTGAAACTTGAAAATACGGTAGATTAAGTGGCTGACGGAAATTTTAAAATCAGGTGATGCAGAAAAGTCAAATTACAAAGTACGGTAAAGTCTTGTTTGTTAACAAGTAAGCGCGACCTGCCTATATCGCTTCCTGCTCCCATCGTTTCCATTATCTCTGGCGAATTAGGAGCTCCTACGTCAATCGGACGAAGATGAGATACTGAAAATGAGATATACTGTCTGGGAGGGCTCGAGCCAAGTTAGTTGAAAAAATAGCGAGTCAAGAGGTCTTGCGTTAACCCATACGTAGAGACATGAAAGCTTACGCGCTATGAGATTAGTGTAATAGGCGAATGTAATATAAGCAGAAGTTGTAAAATGTTTGTACAAAACTACGAATCGTATTATCGTGATTGAATTAATGCTTTAAATTACCGAAGCGTGTTTGTATAAGCGAATTATATGTTATTGAATGAAATGTTTATTGTACTTTCGAGATACTAAACTACCGAGAACTTTGTAGAGAATGTTGCTTTTCAACTGTCGACTCGCTATATAATTTTCCATGAAAAAAAAAAAAAACAAAAACAAAAAACAAAAACAAAAAAAAAACAAAAACAAAAAAAAACAAAACAAAAAACAAAAAACAAAAAACAAAACAGAAAAAAAGTATGAAATGAAAGAGAACTTTGCATAAAAAAAAGAAACAAAGTGTTGTGAATTAAACGTATGATAAGATGGAAAAAAATTGAGAAAAACAAAGGCTCTACTATACTAAGTATCACATTGTTTCTAAATTCATATATTACTAGTGCTTATCTGCCTTGTAGATGTGGCCAAGAGACAAGAATAATTCCTCGTATTCTTCAAATGCGGTCACATTGGCTGAAATCCGAAAGGGAGAGCGTCCGTCTCGAGGAGGCTGGAGTATCTAAAGAGGTAGATTTTCTTTCTTATTTATCTTCTATTCTACATTTGTACGGTTCGCGATACTATAATGGCGAAGATCGACAGTTGGATCGAAAGAAAACGTATATTATATTCTTCGTCTTCGATACAATTCAAGTCACTATACTACTCCTACTAATAATACTTGATGAACGTAAAATCTCGAGTCAAGTTATTTATGTAAAAAGTCTACATGGTCTACGTAATTTACATTTTCCGCTTGATTAAATGTCCCATCACCGTTATTTAAATAAATACAAATTTATGTATAATGAAGGATATTCATCGGTAAGTCGTTGTATGCGTCCCGCAGCACATTGAAATTCACCTTCATATAGTAAAAGCCCCTAGTGACATTATCGAAAGCTAAATGATTTTTTAAAAAACAAAAACAAAGAAAACGAAAAACAAAAAACACAAAAAACACACACAAAAAAAGGGGGGGGGGCGATAGAGAGTCTTTGACGGTGTAGCACAGAAAGGGACGACGTTAAATGAATCTTAAGGTAGGGAGGCTGGGATCTCGCCTCGCACATTAATGACAACAAAATGTCTTTGACTTGCAGGTGATGGACAGCGCGATCGCAGCATTTTGCTTAGAAGTGATCGCAAGGCACGGCGAACCCGCCCCACGACTCTGCAACAAAGACCCATTGACGCTCAAGATGGGCTCTTACGTCCTCGATCTATTCCCCAACGCTAAATTCATATTTATGATTCGTGATGGACGGGCGACTGTTCACTCCATAATATCGAGAAAGGTAAAGTGGAGCGACTATTGTTAAAGCGAAAAATCATCCCGTCCACGTCGCTCGATCAGCGTTTCGGCCGACGAGGCGGCTAAGCGGCCACTCGCTTCAGGCTTGCCGAAAATAAATGTCGAGCGGCAGCTTTTGCCATTTGTCGATAATCGATTTTGCGTCGACGCAGAACTTGTTTGTAATAATTTGTACAAAATTTGTACAATAATTAATGGGTACAAAATACAAAATACAATATACAATATACAATATACAAAATACAAAATACAAAATACAAAATACAATATACAATATACAATATACAAAATACAAAATACAAAATACAAGGTACAAAGAACAAAGTACAAAAAATTTCATTTTAAAACTTTGGTAATTATCGATGAAAATAGACGTTGAAGAAAGAGGCACAACGGCCTTGGCAAACTTTAATAAAACAATTTGGAACTTTTTTTTGTTTGCTTTTGTTTTTCTCCATTTTCTTTTGCTTTTATTTTTGCTTTTTCGTGACCTTAAATAATATAACCCGAGCTTGCTTTTAAGCTCTCGCGCTCCCTGATCGGTCGCAACTTCACGTTCCATCGACAAATCGTCCACGACTTAATAAAGAGTCGTTGATAACAAAAAATACTCTCGACTCGCAAAGCTCAGCATCGATCTATCGTGGTAGATCAGGGCCACCCTAACCTCCCTCACCCCGTATCGCTAATCACAACATTTCGACTCGGCACAGGTCACGATAACGGGCTTCGACCTTTCCTCCTATCGCCAGTGTATGATCAAGTGGAACCAGGCCATCACGATGATGTACAAGCAATGCAAGGACGTCGGTCCCGAGCGCTGCCTCATGGTACCCTACGAGCAGCTCGTGCTGCATCCCCGTGAATGGATGCAGAAGATCCTGCTCTATTTGGACGTACCTTGGAACGAGTCTGTCCTTCATCACGAGGAATTCATCAATAAACCCGGCGGCGTCCCCCTCAGCAAGTACGTATCGAGTAGTCATCGAGTCATTTTTCTTTACTTCCACAACGACTCGATTTACCGTCTCGCCATGGCACCTCAATATGGCCGTATCGAAGCCATTAATTTCCTATAATCGCTGTTGTCGTTCGTTTGCTTTATTTTTACATGCTTTCAGCGGCAGAGTTCATTAACGTTTCAATAAACATTACGAAATTCATGATGATTTTTATCTTCAATGAAGCTTCAGCTTTTCCGCGCGTCTACTTTTCGCATTATGTCCTTCCGTAAGATTTATGCATTAAAAAATTTATATTTTACCGCCCATATCTGCCTGCACGAGGCAGATGTCGCTTTTAGCTACTTTTATTCCAAAATATCTCCAAGGTGGTTGTTTTTAAGTTCATAAGCATAAATTCCTGGACTGTTGGGATACCGTAAATAATCTTTGAGCTTAAAATATAATATCATGCGCGAAATACGTGGTGCCGAATGAGAATAATAAAGAGTTTAATAAATAATAAAGAATTTAATAAATAATAAATAATAAAAGTTTAATGCTTAAAGCTGCCACTATAGTTATTCAAAGTCGTATTAACATCTGCGATATAATGTTTAATAATATGTTTGTACTTATGATTGTCATTTGGGCCAAATCTGAACTTGGAGTCTGAATTTCACTCCGAATTACTTGGAGATTCGGAGGAACGGTGAGTTCAAAGCTGTTACAGTCCTATTTTACCTAATAACAATTGACTATACGTGTTTTCTATTATTATTTAACAAAATACGGAATCTCGTGCTTTATGAAATTGTAAAGAGGGAATTTGTCAGGATAAATTATTTCTAAAACACGGGATGAAAAATTCTATCTTATCGACCGATATAAAATACTCCGTCTTAGCTCTACGAGAACAAACGTGGATATCAAAGAATATTGTTGGATTGTTAAACTTTACGGTTGGCATTGCGCACTTGACGCGAATTATCCGACGATAGGTCAAGTTTATTGTTTATTGAGAGCCTCGTGTTATTAGTGTGCAGCTAGAGAGTTATAAAAACTTATGAATCATCCCGGAACGATTAACTGTACAGTGACATGTGACGAATTGACAAGGAGAAAATTTTGAAGATCGATGGGATTCGGGACCGTCTATAACTCTGGCATATCGAAGTAATAAAAGCGAGGAAAACGTGACATGGAAATCCTACACTACGGGAAAACGCGGACTTAATACCGAGACGCACACTAATGGGATTCTCATGGATATTCTCATTTAACGTATAAAATGGACTGGATGGAGTCGACAAAATTCATTCGAACAAACTGCCATAAATCCTTAATACAGATACTTAATGTTATAAAACTTAATGACGTAGTAATTAATGGATAACTTTAACTGAACTGTTGAAAGATGTGAATCGATATTCACAAAAAAGCCGAAAATATTATTTAATCCGGTCGCGAGCAAAGTTAATTAAAATAAACAAACAATAAAAGGCGAAAATTTATTCGAAAATACAACGCGAAATTTGGAAAATTGGTCTTTGACTTGGACAGTAATGAGGATTAAATTGAATGCTAATTTAGCATTTTTTTTTTTGTTTTTCTTTTCTTTTGAAAGACATAAAAACATTTTTTAATTTTATAAAAAATAATGATGAATAACCTCGGCAAATATACCAGTGGAGTACGAATTTTGATTAAACTTTGGCGAGAGTTTATTACTCCGAGAAAGTGAAATGTAGCACGGTAAGCTCACTCCTGCAGAATCTCTAAATTTTATATTACAAACTCTAACATTATCTATCTAGTTTGTATTAGTTAAAATTAATTTCATCTCCAATATAATTTTTATTTAAAATTGACATTGCTTTTATCATCTTTCTTATAAATTGAAGCTCATTATATTAACTCGCGATATTCTTGAGCTGCTGATAACCAAGTAAATACAATTTTTCAGATTGAAAATGTACAGAATCATAACTGCTACAACTTTGTGAATTTTTAGTCTAGATATCATGATGTAACAAAAGTTGAGATAAAATTTGTGTTTACGAATATAATTACGCTTGAAGAAAAGATATTTTCATCCTTTATAATACTGAGAGAAATAATATCTCCTTCACAAGGAATATCACTATAATATCTCTCTCACACGGAATATCTCTATATATATATATATATATATATATATATATATATATATATATATATAATTTTACAAATTATTAACTAATATATTTATATAAGTTGGTTATAAATGTTGAATATAAGTATAAGTTAAGTAAATAAATAGAATGAAACAAGTGATAAGCTGTAGCCATATTATTTAGCTTTTATATTTCTTAATTTACATATATATGTGTAGATATACATACAACATTTACCTCCATAATCAACTTTGCCAACATTTAATTTAAATGATCGCATTCGTAAAACATTATTAATGAAAACATAATTACATGAATGAAGATATTTTTATGAATTTTAAATTAAAACTTGATATTTCCATTGATTAGTTACTCAATGCATTTAGCTAAATGTTTTGCTTTACGAAGAAATTGGATAAATACTTTTCCTTGCTCAATAATCATTTATTAAACAAAATTTTAAATCTTAATATATATATATATATATTAATCAAAATCAAAGTTCATTGAATAAATATTATTAACAAAATATAAATTTCATCGCTATTTTACTATTGCAATTTCATTGTATATACACATTGTATAATACGGACAACTTCACATATACCGAAGACGACATTCTATCAATAAACTAATAATTTGACGCGTATCGACTGAAATAATATTGAAACGCTAGTGAATGATTATATTAATATTGTTTTTAGTGTTGATATTAAATTACTAATATCCATAAAGAATTACCATAAAGCTAAGTGAGAAATTCGAGTATTTATTTTATAAGCCTTCGAGAAAGCTACGTCTGGAATATCATCCGGTTTAGTATATGAGGAATAAAGAGGAAAGAGCAGACTAGAATCGAGGATGGAGCACTAGTTAGTTGACAAGAATAAACAAAAGCCTCGACTAATAGTCGGGCACAATGCCTCGGGAATAAGTCTCTAAGCAAAGGACAATTGAAGAAAAGTATTTGGCGTTTCAGGGTGGAGCGCTCGTCGGACCAAGTGATCAAGCCAGTAAATCTCGAGGCACTAACCAAGTGGGTCGGCAACTTCCCCGAGGACGTTGTGCGGGACATGGCGGAGATTGCGCCGATGCTCTCGGTTCTCAATTACGATCCATATGCCAATCCACCGGATTACGGAGCACCCGATAAAGTTGTTAGTGACAACACACGAAAGTGAGTAAGTTTACGTTACGTCCTTGGTCGCGCGAGCTTGAACGCTGCGTGTGTCACTATTATATCGATCGGATGGCCAACGGTTGTGATCTCGTTGCTCGATATTAATTGCTCGCGCGCTTCTATATATAAAAAACAAACAAACAAACAAACAAAAACAAATTAAAGAGTCGCAAATTACAAGAATTTATTATTTCCTTGCCGGTGACATCAATCCCATGCGATTAATTGGTGAGAAAATTATGCTTCTAGATAATTAAAAATAAAATACCACCCATTAGTCGTGACACTCGTAGTCGTAGTGTTAAAACTAAAGAATTCGTAAATATAATTAGCGACGATTGGATGGTCGGGGGATGAAATTGGTCCAGGCGCGACAACGCCCCCCTGTATAAATAAAGTCACTGAATCTCTATTTTAGTGTGCGTGTTCGTATGTTGTAGGGTCCTGACGAACGGCCAGGTATGGCAGAACATGGCCCGGGAGCTGGAGCTCGTGGACACGTCGACTTTCTCGTCGGCCAACGGGACGAAAGCGTGACGACCGTCGGCGCCGTCGTCGCTACTCGACGCATCCAGAATTTATGATACTCGCGCCTCCGGACACATATAAGCGCGGGGATACGCGTAGTCCTTTCGTGTACTCTTTCACCCGAGGTGCTGCAACCGAGAGGACGACTAATTAGTTATGGCAGCACGTCTGCGTGTCTAGGGAGGGGAAGGGCTTCGATACGCTTACCACCGATGGAATTAGAATTTTCGAGAATGTGCGCGATGTGTCTAGAGGAATATCGTTGTACTTGGATTATAATTTTAATGTACGTATTTTTTTTTTTTTTTTTTCTGTTTTGTTTAAGGTAAAGCGACCATATTGTACTAGCGGTATTTGATACGTTAGAATTAAGTGTTTTATGTCACGCATCTAAGCTTCTTGTGCCCTGATATGTTTTGTTTATTGATTAAAAGGACGCCCGAACGTGTATCTGTTTTATAAGGAGTAAAGCTAACGGCAGAAATTGAATCCCAAGATTGTGACTGTCAGTTTTATTACCTATCTCTCTCTCTCTCTCTCTCTCTCTCTCTTTCTATATATATATATATATATATATATATATATATATGATTGTCATGATTGATTAAACGGTTGATATTCTAAATTGAAAATTTCTTATTATTGTGTGGTCAAAAATAGATAGATATAGAGCAAAATCGTATTTTCTGTGTTGTTAACTCTGATGTTATTAATGTAAATTTGGGAAAAGTGCACATGTAAGTTTTGCGAGAATTGTTAAAAGAACTGCACTACTATTTCAACTTAAAATAAATTTAATATTTATGAAAAATTTCTAAAAGAATTTGGAGAAATTTACATTAAGAGCTTACAAAGTGAGAGCGAGTTCTAACCAAACTTTATCTATGAAAAAAAAATAATATTAAAAGAAATTATATATATATATATATATATATAAATATTTCTTAATGAAATTGAAATTGTATATAGGTATATTTTGAAATTATTTAAAATAATACATTTTTTTGGAACAGTTTAATAACTAAATTTCTATTTTTCCAATAATTCTTTGTATATCTTCAATAAAGCTTTGTAACCTAACTTTTTCATTTTATTCTATATAATTACGTATGTTTTAAAATTTATTTAAAATAAAGCTATTATTGTATGTATGTATACATATACATATACATACATGCATACTAAAACATTCGTTATAAATTATAAAATATTTTTAATTGAAAATTACTATAAGCGATGAAAGTTATTTAATTGGAAAATAGCAAAACGAAGAGCTTAATATTTAATTTTGAAAGAGAAAAAAAATATATATATATATATATATATATATATATATATGTATATCCATTGAAATAAATAAGACGTAAAAGATAACATAATCATTTATTGGAAAATTTTCTAACGTTACAATGTACAATTTTACAAATGTCAATCACTCCAAAGAAAAAAAAATTACTCTTGACATTTAAGAATCATCCAATGAATAAACTGACAAATGCACGCACTCTGCCTATATTTAGATCTCCATGGATTAAATGCCTTTTTATTATCCATTTGACGGAGAACGCTAAAACAAGTAGCGACTGATTGAATATTTGCAAAATGCATAATACAATGCTACTTCAATGTACTAGAGAACTTTTACTTTTGTACAAAGCGAAAGAATTCACTTTTAATTGCATAATAATTTTTAGTAGCTCGTATGTTAAATTCGATTGATAGCTATACGTTCACAATCTGAATTATAATAGTTTTATTATTATTAAAAATAAATAAATAAATAAATAAATAAAATAAAAAAAATTGTAATTTTAAGGATAGTACTTTAATTGCATAATAGTACCAAAACGCAGAGAATGAGATAATATAATAAAAATCAATATGATTGATGATAAATATTAATTACAAACGATGTTTTGATACTACAAAGGATGATTGAAGATTTTTCATATATTTTCAACTAACGTAACATTTTGTACAGAAGTAATCACAAATTACATTTACAATTTTTTTTTTTAATTTATATGTTACCTATAACGTGTACATCAATATATATTAAAATAGTTTTGTTTTCCACCTTTGCACATAATTAACCAACCGACCATTTAATAATGAATAATAATTAAATTTTTTTGTATAAATTATATTGTATTATTGTATGCGATTAGTGTTCTTCAGAGTTATATATATATATATATATATATATATATATTATAAAGACAAATGATTAATATTATTTAAGACATTATATCGTTCCAATATTTTGTGTGAAGAATAAATAAACTTTTCTTTTTTTTTTAAATCATCGATATAGAAAAATTAAAAGATGAATTTAATGACTAATTTCAATGGCTTGACACATAAACAACAAATAATAATAAAACCAATGACAGCATATATTAACAATGAAAATTTTCGTTTTTTGCTAACGAAAGCAAATTCCTGAAGACTTAAAATATTCATAATAAATTTTATATATAAAACGATTCACTTATCTTGTAGGAAGTATGTCAATTTATTAAGAAAAGAAATTTCATAATTTTTTATAAACATCCAAGTATTATTATTATTATAATTATTCGTGTTAAATTGTACATTATCTAGAAAAACTATAATGTAAAACTGAATTCTTTAGACATTCATATATAAATATCTATTTCACGTAATTTATATTACGTATATTACTACTTACTAATCATGTTAATAATAATTCTACGAATCATAAATTGAAGACTTTTCCACACACACGCACACTTTATGTACAGTTTATATAATTTTATCGTAGGCAAATATTTTGTGAAAAAAGTGCTGTTATTATCTTTATTCATAAAAATTAATTTGGTATTTAAGTTATATATGTAACGAACTAACGAAATTTTCATGAAAACTTACTTTAGATTTTCTTAGAATAATCAAGATTTTATGATATTTTTTTATGCAATCACTATCGGCAGCCTATTGATAATTTTATGCTTATAATATATAATATTAATTATAAATATTAATGTAATGATGAATTTGCCAAAAACATATTTCCGCAAAGAAAATGTTTATGTTACAAAACGTTTGAATAAATCTTAATTTTCGATATTTTTAACAATGCACACAATAACAAAAGTAGTCGACAATTTAGAAAAATAAACGAGTTATTCACTTAATTTCACTTGTTTAACATATAAACAATGCTAAATGCATTGTTTGAGTAAATTATTATATAATTCGATGCGTAACTTGATTAAATGGTGCTAAGTAAATCACATTCGTTCAAGTTTAATAATGAATCTAATAGTGTTTAATATTTATAATGTGAGGGAAATTTGCAAATGATTGTGACGATAATCTTGTGACTCATTTTTATTATTACGCTAGCGTGATGTGTAAATGTGCATGTATATTTATACGTAATAAGACGACACTTAAATTATAATTTAAGATCAACAGCTAATAGAATGAAAAATGGAATGTGTTTGTATAAATATCTAGTGTACAATACAACAACAACAAAAAAAAAAAAAACCTATTCTTTCTGTAACAATATGCAAAGGTAACTAGTTTTAAGAAAACTTGTTGAACGCGCAGTTTCATTGAAAGTTGTATTTATTGAACATTTGACAATAGATTTCTTTGCGTATTTAAGCATTACCAATAATGCTTATACCGCAAAATCGTTCAATGATTCAAAATGAAGGCCAGTTGCATCTCATACATTTACATTTGAGTTTATTCGGTCTGACTTTTTTTTTTACCACGAATTTCTCATTCTAATATTTCCTTTAACTAATAAGAGTTCGACAGTTTTACTATTGAAATTGTATTATAAATTATTGCGAGCAAAATTTGTAAAATCAGAATGATGAGAATTAGCAAAGTACGTTTAAAAAGTTATTTTTTCATAAAAGTAGAAGAGTTTTACGATTTTTAAAATATGCCAATCAAATTATTGCAAATACTAGCCTAATTATATTACATTTTATAAGACGAAATTTTCAACTATACTGATTTATAATTGAAAGTTTAATCTGTTGATTATTAAATTAATGTATTGATGGAATAATAATGTACGCATGAGACAAATGATTTTTCAAGAAAAGCGAATGAAAATGTTTGTGAAACCGTTTATAGCATCTATCAACGAATATTTTTTTTTTTTTTTTTTTTTTTTTTTTTTTTTTTTTTCATAACAGTCTATAAACTGATTTGATAATCCGCATAAACGAACGTCTTATTTCAGGTTACAGTTAAATCGTATCTTTTTCACATGTAATACATTAATAGCAGAGAGAAAATACAAAGATTTACTAAGCATTTGATATTTTTGCTCTGAATTGCGAATGCTTCTCAATACAAAATACAATTTTCAGGAATAGCGCGTTAAATATACTCGATTGTATAATCGGGATGCATAATCATATGCAATTGTACAGAAAAGAGAAAATATTTGTAAATTATCATATGTGATAAAAGAGTTTAACCTATTTTGTGCTGATCTGCGATGTTTACCGTATAATTTTATCTGTCGGTAACTGTTTCATCACCGTTTCTCTCCTTTACTTTGTATAAATTATTATAATTATACTGACAAATTTTAAACATGTATATTTGAATTATCATAATGCCTGATTTATATCTACACTATACATTATCACTGCAAGACTGTAATTATTAATTATCAAGAACTTTCTCGTTGATAAGCAATTTTTTTCTAGCTCGACGAGAAGCGATGAAATGTACATCGACTATCAAGAGATTATGTTTTTAGGTTGTGATGTGACATTAATTATTATATCGGGAGTGTTAATGTCTATGATATGTAAAATTAAAATTAAATTATTTTAATACTAAAAATGACTTGTTTCTTATTATAATAGAATAAAATTATGTTTTTTTTTTTTAAGGAAAATTCAATCGCTCGTCAGGTAGGAAATATGAAGGAATATATTTTTAATTCAACATTGACTTATAATTCTATAATTATCATAAAATTACATCTGAGAAGTTTCATAACCTGCGGAAACTCTATTGTTGTTATTTACAATTGCAATTAATAATAGTTGAATATTAAACAATTAGCATTGATAAATTAATGACGATAAAGTAAAAATCACAATAAATGACGCATGTAATATTATTATTATTATTAAATTTGTTTATCTTTGTTATTTCTTTTCCATAACATTGCCATATTTTTATCACACTTTCTTTTATAATTCAAATGGTAAAGTAATTATCGAGTATTATTAAATAAATGTTATTTTATTCATCAAGAAATAATAGAAAGGAAAAAATAAATAAATAAAAAAAAAACAGAAGATAAACGTATATTTATCTTTGGCAGTACTCAGACTTATATCGCATTTCAACTAAAATTTAGAGAAACTTTGATATAGATAGAAAAATATTAAATTTTTAATCTAAATTAATAATGTATCGAACATATAATCATTTTTTAATAAGTAATCGCAATCAATCATAATCATTATTTTAAGATGACTTTTAAGATTATTTATATGATGGCTAACATTTGAAAGAAATTATTTCAAATCGTCGTCGGTTAAATGTTATATAAACTATTGTATTAAATATACATGTGTACGTCTTTTAATAATTGAAAATATTTTTTTTCGAATTTCAATATTGAAAATTGTTTTCAAACTCATCAATTCATTTGTTACATCCAAATGCCACACATTCACATGTTTACTAACATACACACAGTCTTACATTAAATAATTATAAATATGTATTATAATTAAACGAGTAGTATTTAGTAATCTATTTTAAAATCTTTTTAATCAACGGAAACTAAGCATTTGCTTTTTTAAAATATTATTTACCATAAACTAATCTATTACAATTTAGAATTAGAAAATATTTTCTTTATTTTATGTACACAGAAATATATTATAAACCTTACTATTTCAGGCTGGCAGGAAACTACGTAATATATTTCTTATATTGTATATATCGTATATTAGCTATTTATAAACTAATATTAAAATTAAACACTTGGTTTAATAATTTCTTTACTGCAAGTAATTATGTTAATTTATGCATTTTGTTATGAATATTCTTTACTTTTGTCTGACAAAAAGAAACGAAAACAGAATCTCGTGGAAATTTTTAATTAATGAAAATATCATCGCGTTTGTATTTAATTTTCTAATTTAAATTTGTTAATACATTTCCGTATCAAGATTAACATGGCCCAATAGGATATAAAATAAATTTTTTATCAAAACAGAAAACAAATTGCAATAGATTTTACTCATAAATTATTAATTACTTAATTAATTTATATATATATATATATATATATATATATATATATATATAATATGGATAGATTCAACATTGGTACGGGCGATTCTCGTTATTGCAATTTCGTTTCGATCGGCGCAAGTTTTTAAGCGCGTAGGTAGGAGAATCTCATAGTCGCCCGTGAAAACAAGGACAATTGTATTATTGCGCCGACTATAAGGTCACTATTGGGCCTACCCCAATGCGCATATGATCGAAGGAGAAGCTGAGGAAGTCGAATGCGGCGATGGTAAGGAGGAGAGAGAACGGGACGTGGTCGGTCGCCTTAAATCGACAAGCTAAAATGATTTTCTCGTCCCCCGACATTATCAAGTAAGAACTTTGTCTAACTCTGCTCGGATTAGTGTGGTATCCTCTTACTATTTGAACTATTTATTATCCATAAAGTCTGTTCACACAGAGTTACCGCTTAAGCTTTCCTGATTACCAAGTTCTTCTTATCCCTGCCTCTTTGATTGTCACGTCTATCCTTTGTGTACCTCTCTTTTTTTTTTAAGGTTTCTAGTTGCACAATATTGCTCTTACTGTTTCTTCTGCTGCTACTGTTCCTTAATATTTTCGCGACACTTTCTACCGATATCCTTTCTTTTATGCTCCTCGAGACTCCTAAGAAGTTGCATTACTATATTTGAAAGACGCGTAAAGACAAATATATCATTTTCTGATGAACTTTACAATATTTATTAACGTCTATTTGGTGGTTAGATCAATCAAATCTATAGATACGATACTCTACTTTGCGATATTTGCCCTTACAACTATAAAACTTTCTACTATCCCAGTTATCCCAAAAAAAAAAAAAAAAAATATATATATATATATATATATATATATATATACATATAAATTAATCAATAATCGTGTATAAATATTTTTACTTTATCGCAAAGAGTTAATAAACGAAATAAAAATAATGATTCCAAACTTATTGTACATATACGATTAAAAATATATGGATATAGCGAGTACTATCGCAATAATTTTTCTTTCTAATTGTAAATAATATCCTAGAATTATTAAAACAACTGGCATTAATTAGAAATTTTTTTTTATAAATATCACACTGTACGTCATTATTTTGATTAACGATTATGAATTTGAAAACAAATTAACGTTGAAAAATTTAATTCAATATGAAATTTAAAGAAAAATATAATATTCAAGAAAAAAATAATCTCCTCTTTATCTCAATTAAATTTTTTTTTTTTTTTTTTTTTTTTTTTCAACACACGAAAACAGAATGATAAAAAATTCTTTCAAATATTAAAAATTGTTATAGAGGCTTTATATGTCAAATTTATACAAGAAATAATGGCTTAATGTATCGTTATTATGTAAATAAGAATGTTTATTTATGCCTGTAATATGATTCATAGCCTAACTGAAAAGTAAATAAATTCAAGGTATACCACACTGTCGTCCGTTTTTAATTGAAAAATGTATCGCCTAATATTCATTCATAATTACATGCTGAATTGACCTAAATATTCATTTAAATACCGATTACATATACTTAAAGCATACATATGAGACATTCTAAGACAAATATCGGGGTTTCTACGCCTGCTTTATCGATACGAGAAGTCACATTGTTCTTTTAATTAAAAATTCATAAATGATTGTAACAATGCTACTAGTACAATACACTTTTCCAAAAAGTCAAAGTATTTTACATATTGTGTCTAGATTGTAATTTGAAATGATTACTAAAGATGTATTACAAATAAAATTTATATGATTATTTAAACGACTATTGGGGCTAATTAATTACAATTTCGTGAAATAATCGTGAAATAAAATCCGCAGTTCAGATTTATTCAGTTGCACATTTACAAAATAATGAAAATTTATTTTAAATACGTAATTGATTTTTCTTTTTTTAATTAAGAAAAGTATTATATTATTACCTAAATAATAAATTGGAGAGAGAGAAAAGATTGCAATATTTTTAATGCGAATCAAAAATATGAAAATGCAACGTCAGAAATAAATGTATGATGATAATATTGGAATTTCTTTCGTCCACATTGCAGATAATTATCATAGGAAATATCTATAAACGTATTTTTCTACTCTTTTCACTCCAACCATTGAACGCCATTGTTATTATTATTTTCGTAGCTTCTTGCAAATGGTATTGCTAATGTACTCGATAATATTGTAAATACACAACTGACAAACGTTATTAAAATTAAGCCCGACATATAAAAGTGATTTTGAAATCTTTTTCCTTTCGTTTATATTATATTACATGAATAATGCACGTACACTTTTACAGGAATGAATGATAATAATAAACGCTATAAGCTTTTATCGTAGGCTAAACGGCATCCCAATAGCTTCCACGCCATTTCTAAAAGAATATCTCCCAATTCACTAAAAAGAAGCAAGGCTACTTTTTTGTTATTTCAATAAATAACTCCGCGGACAACGCAACGATAAAGTAAACATAAACGAAAAGGCGTCAAATCAAACGTCTGGCGCAAGCTTCCGATGACTTTCAATGCGCAAAAACAAACAGGGCGCCATGGCGCATCATCTTGCGTGCAAGTGATCGCTCGTCGAACGTTACAATAAACAAATAATATTTGCTCAAGCCGCAGTTGTCACTTTCAGTCAGTTGTCGGTCTATAATCCGCCTGGCCATCGTCCAAATCTAATGTCAGTTTCTCATCGGACGACAGAGTGCGATTGACATCAGCCACTATAACGAGCATCGATTCCAGTTGCAACGCCGACTTTGTTGCATTTTCGTTGTCATCGTCGTCGTGGTCGTCGTCGTTGTCGCCATTGTCGTTATTGTTGTTATCGTGCTCGTCGTCGTCGTCGTCGTCGTCGTCGTCGTCGTCGTCGTCGTCGTCGTCGTCGTCGTCGTCGTCGTCGTCGTCGTCGTCGTCGTCGTCGTCGTCGTCGTCGTCGTCGTCGTCGTCGTCGTCGTCGTCGTCGTCGTCGTCGTCGTCGTCGTCGTCGTCGTCGTCGTCGTCGTCGTCGTCGTCGTCGTCGTCGTCGTCGTCGTCGTCGTCGTCGTCGTCGTCGTCGTCGTCGTCGTCGTCGTCGTCGTCGTCGTCGTCGTCGTCGTCGTCGTCGTCGTCGTCGTCGTCGTCGTCGTCGTCGTCGTCGTCGTCGTCGTCGTCGTCGTCGTCGTCGTCGTCGTCGTCGTCGTCGTCGTCGTCGTCGTCGTCGTCGTCGTCGTCGTCGTCGTCGTCGTCGTCGTCGTCGTCGTCGTCGTCGTCGTCGTCGTCGTCGTCGTCGTCGTCGTCGTCGTCGTCGTCGTCGTCGTCGTCGTCGTCGTCGTCGTCGTCGTCGTCGTCGTCGTCGTCGTCGTCGTCGTCGTCGTCGTCGTCGTCGTCGTCGTCGTCGTCGTCGTCGTCGTCGTCGTCGTCGTCGTCATCACCATCATCGATACCGTAACATGCACCATCGTCGTCCCCGTCGTCTTCGTCGCAATCGACGAATTGTAAAGTTGCCTCAAAATCATAGAGCCTCAACTGAACTGTCGATGTGACGTTCGACGTTGTCGTCGTTGTCGTCTGCGTCGTCTGCGTCGTCGTCCTCGTCGTCGTCATCGTCGTCGTCGTTGTCGTCGTTGTCGTAGTCGTCGTCGTCGTCGTCGTCATCGTCGTCGTCATCGTCGTCGTCATCGTCGTCGTCATCGTCGTCGACGTCATCATCGTCGTCGTCGGGGATCTACCGGGAATCGCGTTCGGCGCAGTGATTGAGTTTCCGTTGAGAGAGTCGTTGCTACTTCTTCTCACATCGTGTTGAGCGTTGAGACCGAGAATCGAGACGGCCGACATTGGCAGGGACAGAGCCTTGTCGTTGTTATTATTGTTGATGAAAATCATACGTGCCGTGGCTCCCTTTCCTTTGCTGCAATGCAATGTTGCATAATTATAAATCGATAATCACGTGCGCATTTGATTCAAATAAAACAACTACGCGTATCCACATTTTTTAACAATATGCACCCATTTATTAATATAGGATTAATCATTATTTTCTATTTTCAAGGCTGATTACACGCTTATTGAACAAGGTTACATGTTATGCAAAGATTTATAGTAATTTATACACTAAAGTTGCTAATTTTAAGTAACATCGGGCATCCCAAACCTTCGGATAATAATAGACTCGATGGATCGGCAAATATTTTATTCACATATTCATTATAAATGTTGTAAACATTTAAAATTCTAATTACGAAATCTCAAACACACAGAGTACTCGTGCTTTTTCATTAATTAAATGTGCTTGTATAAGCAAATTAATTATATAATTTATTTTTTTGTTTTTGTACTAATGTACAAATGTGTTTTTGCTTGAATGATGTAGAAAAAGAAAATGAAAGGAAGAAGTTACTGCAGACATTCGATACTTTATAAAAGCTTAAAATATTTGCCGAGAGATATTATTTATTGTGTTGTGTCGAGTCAATTAAGTATATGCGACTTTAAGTGTATTTTGTTAACAATGTGGTGAACTTGTATTTTAAGCTTTTATAAGGTATGGTAAATTCGCATAAACTTCTTCCTATTTTGACAATATTCAACAAAGAAAAGTAAATTTGTATATTATCGTTAAAAGATGGCATTGAATATGATTATTATTCTCTCTCGAATATTTTCATTATTTATACTACGTAACGTTTTCTCTGCTTTTTCTTATTATCTCTTATTATCGTTAATATTCAAGTTGTTTTCAAAATTTTACTCATTCAATTTATTTGCATTAAATTTATTCATATTAACGATAAGCTGACTTGTTCAATATGAAAAAATTCCCACGAAACACGAAACATATACTTTTTCGACCGTATCAGGTCAGTTGCACAACATCAACTATTGTTCGAAATGTAAAAAAAAAAACACTAATTAAAGATAAGTAATGCCGTTATCTATGAATAATGTGAAAAATACATAAAGCAAATCGTATGCTTTAAAACGCATATTATACGATGTAATATAAACATGAGAATTAATCCTAAAAACGTTTATTCAAAACAATTCGATTTAATAATAAATATTTTTAATCTTTATTTCGCACAGATTATCGAACATTGATTATTCGAAAGTTCGTATGTATTAAACGTAGATATTATTATGTTGGACTTCTTCAATAATTTATCATTAATTGAATGAAAAATTCGACCGGCATTATTGACATAAATTATGGTTTGTTTTATGGAAAATTATTTCCTATTGCCTATATAAAGGGAATTTATAAGTGAAAAATAAATAAATAAATAAATAAATGAAATCATAACAAATTGTTTATATATTCAAATGTGAATTAATACGTAACGATATATCTTACTATCTTAAAGTGTAGTCGTGTAGTCGAATATCATATTTACAATAATTTCCCAAAGTAAACCAAGTGAGACGTTCTAAATAAATTATTATTTACATAACGAATATTTATTTAAGTAATGGAATATAATAGAACATGTGAAGATTTTCAACTATATACTTGATAAATAAATGAATAAATAAATTTTAAAATATATTATTATATTAATGGCATATTACTGAGATATTGGATATATATTTTTACATGATGTTCTATATTTATTAATATATTAAAATTGTCCAATTAATTATGCTATATTTGCATAGAATAATAAACTCCTACATTTTTTCATTTAAGCTAACATATATGAATTTGAATTAAATGTATTTGCCAATCTGAAAAACATTAATCTAAAAATAATCAGATATATAGATTAAACGCAACAGGTATATGATTTATATCGATCGATAATAAACTTTTTTACAATATAGAACTAGAAATAAACTTACTTGTTTGGATTTTGCGTTGATTCAGCGTCGACATTCGCTTGTATTTCCTTAATTTTTGTTTGCTGAATTTGCCTAATTAAGCTGGTTTGTTTATTAATGTTATTGCTACCCGTTTGCAATAATTGCTGGTGCGATCCAATTATGTGGCCACGACTCACAAATCCTCTATGTGTTCCGGTAATTGAGCCTACGTTAAACCAATTATATATAAATATATAAAATTAAATTTTTGATGGTGATGATGGTCTCTCTCTCTGTGTGTGTGTGTGTGTGTGTGTGTGTGTGTGCGTGCGCGCGCGCGCGCGCACGCGTGTGTCTTTATCGAAAGTAAGCTCGTTTAATGTCGATTAAAATTTTTGCATTTTATTCTTGATCAGTCAACGTTTATATTATATACTCATTAATTAAAGTACCAAACAATAAAACTAATCAGATCCAAAGTTTCATGTACGTTTTTTAAGAAATAGCAACTTTTACCTAAGAAATAGACAGAATAAATATCGAATAAAATGCAATTAAACGATACCGATGTATATAATAAGAAGAATATATAATAATTGCAAAATAATCTTTAATGGGATATATAGTTTGTTACTATAATTAATCTTCTCACATTCGCTCCTTCTTTGTTTTTTATATAAAACAACGAATGATCTTATAATAGATAGTTTTAGATCTAGTGAAATTCATAAAGTGGAATATTTGAATTTTTAATTTTAAGTTTATCTAGCGTTTGAATTTAAAATCAGATCCAACACTTCAAGCTCTTTATTCATTAAATTAAAAACAAAAAAAAAACAAAAAAAAAAAGCATTTTAATATACAATCTATATAAAATCTCTTTGATAGTGATGATTCTATTATACGAATAGAATAAACTTTTTGGAAATCCCATACGCTTGGAAAGTTAAATTACATTGCTAAAGGCATTTGGTATTTAATGTAATTAAAAGGAATATTCCGAACAATTGTTAGCTCGCCGATATTTAAGTGTATACGTATGAGAAAGGTATGTATTAATTCTGCAGTTGAAAAAAAAAAAAAAAAAAACTCGTCTTCGTTAATCTTAAAATTTCGAATTGAAAAAAAAACAGCCGAGAAAATTCCAAACAATTGCATTAACAATTAATAAAATGGTATTGCAAATAAATGTTAGAGAACCTCCTCGAGGCTCCTGGATAATGTTAATCGACCCAATGAGTCCTCCGAGCGCATCCTTGCCCTCCGGTCTCCCCGGAAACAGCATCCTATGAATGAAGCTCTTGAGAGCAGCTCTAAAATCTTTTAGGTGGTAAGCGTAAAGAAGCGGGTTGCCAGCTGAATTAAGGTGAGATAAGATGATGCAGAAGTTGATAAGGAACTGGTTGACCTCGCATCGTGGACAAAAAGCCATAACGCAGTTGATGGTGTACAATGGGAACCAGCAAACGATGAAAAAGGCTACGATGCGGGATAGATTCTGCGTGGCCTTGACCTCGCGTTTCTGCGCCGCCCCTAGGAGTCGTAACATCGTGCCATGTGTTTGGTTCTCCTTGCGCTTGCCCGGATTCATTGTGACAATCTGCTGCAGCTGTGAAGAAAATTCACTTCGCTTAATAACACGGAATTCCTTTCTTTTCTTTTTTTTTTTTTTTTTTTTGCTCAATTATTAGATTTTTTTTTTTATTCAAGTAATATGGTTGGGATCGGCGATAAATCATTGCTAAAAAATTATTAAATTATGAATTAGGTAATTGATATTCCTATGAGGTTTTGATTGCAGAATGAGAATAAACAACAAATAATATATAATATTGTATAAATTCACGACATTTATAGAAAATACGAGTAAGCAAAAGTGTAATTAGTTAAAAATAAAATCGGTAATATTAGTAATATCAGTGCAAGACTGAGAGGCGAGATGTGAAAAAACTAAATATAACGAGTATCTGACTAAATGCATAATTAGGAGTACATAACGAGTATAATTAAATAACCGAGATGTAAATACAGTGTACTTTATGAGTAAGAATGAGGTAATTACTATAATAATTTTTGAGATTTTGAGATTTTGGGAATTCGGAAAGCATATAATTCTAAAACAAATCAATTATAATGAGGATACAAGAGGTAAGAATAAATCGTTACTGATAAGGTTTATGCGAATTGCAGGACGATAAGTACTTTCATTATTTTGTAATGAATTTTTTCAATACTTATTAGCATTATGATTAGCATCATTAGGTAAACGAAGAATAAATAAAATCACATAATGACAATGTAACTTAGAGAACAAAATAGAAAATTGAATCTAACTAAAATTGCAATTAACATTACATATCAGCGCGAGGTGGACTCCTCGTGGAAGAAGGATAAAAAAATGTTCGTAATATAACACAGTGAGTATCAAAAAAAAAAATATTATTAATTTTTATATTTAATATCTTATATACTTTACTTAGTTGTATATATCAAAGAAACTTTTTTTCTTTTTTTTTTTTTTTCCAAATTCATAAAAATAAATGAGGAAAAACAATGGATAATATAAAAAGATAATTATTTTGAAGAGATCTAGGCGTAAAAAGCAAATAATGGGAATTTATGCGCTATAATGAGGATAAAAGACATTTTATTACCTTGAAATTGAATTATTAAAGAAATTAATTTGAATAATAATATATTTAAAGAGCATATAAATTTAATAATAAAAAGATTAGCTGTAAGCTTATAAATTAGTAAATGATTTGAAAAAAGGTTCCTTAAAAAACAAAAACAAAAAAATAATAAATCAAAAAAAGGATAGAATAGTTATAATATGAAAATCTATATATATACAATAGCTACCTATACTAATACTGCCTTAAAATTATGGTTGATATTCAACAATAATAATAATAATAATAATAATAACAATAACAATAATAATAATAATAATAATAATAATAATAATAATAATAATAATAATAATAATAGTGAAATAGAGAGCTGTCAACGGAAAAAGAAAAAAAATAAGGGATTTTATAAAAAAAATTACCAGTAATTTCGAGATGAAGTACTTTGTGAGAATGCAAAATAAAATTTACATACTTCTGCGTATAATATTACTGAATTATTTATTTATTTATTTATGTTAATTAAGATTGGATGTATGATAAGGTAATCAAGTTTGTTAAAATTAACGAATCGCCATACATATTGATTACGCTTCAATTTATATGTGCAATGAATTTACAAAAATGCATATAAAATGATACAAGATCGTGTAAAAAGGAGAAGAGACGCGATACACAAACAAGGGACAAAGTCATAAAATAAGCTGGGAAAAATGTAAAAGTATAACGAGATAATTGACACACGAGTATGACATATTAAAAATTAATAAGGTATAATAAAACTTATGTCGAAAAAGTGTATTTGATAAAAGAAAATCTTTGTTTTCTGCAACGCAGAAATCTAAGGGAACATTCAAGATTTTAGAATGTAACTGATGTAAGTGAAATAAGTAAAAAACAAAACGTTAAATTTAAAAAGTATGATATGTACTAAGTAATATAATAGCGTATTAAATGTACTATCCTATTTGTAATTAAGAGATTATGATTATACAACTAATAATGACAAATAATCAAGATTAAAAACTATTTTGCACAGAATATAGAGATATGAAAATGAATTATTAACAATGTAATTAGCTTACGTTATAGGGTAAATAAAAATCTATCCGATTATGAGAAATTAAGGATAATATCATTTATTTGTAAATTACTATTAAGAGTGATGATTGCAAAATTGTACGATAAGAGGAATGTGTCAGGTGAAAATAGCTAAGCTTTTAAAATAAACAGAACTACAATGTTTTAGTAACAATGTATGTTCAATGGCAGATAAAATTGATTAATAAATGTGTATAAGATTTGCATAACATTGTAAGCTTTAAATGCACTTAGCTCTTTGTCTAACTTGATGGTAATCAATTATAAAGTATTTTGAAGCCAAATTTTGTTTAACAATTGCGTATGAGCGAAAATTTTCGTCAAACACGTAATCGCGTATTGAAAATATTTGAAAAAGCACACGAATTGCCTGGGAAATTAATTTTTCGTTTTTTCGTAATTTCGTTAATTTCATTAATTATTATTATTAGATAACTAATAAAGCCAGTCCTTGAATTCAGGACATTTAAACGTATCGACGCCTTAACCAAAGATTTTCAAATATTCATATTATTCGATTAGAGTTTTAATTTAATTATTACCAGTTCTAAGTACTATACAGCCCTTCTCCATTCCACTATAAATAATTTATCCAGCAATGGCAATTATAAACGTTATCGAATATTTTTGAACAGGCGGCATTGAGTTTAACGAATGTCTCGTCGTAATCCTTCAATTCGACGAGAGGACAATCGAACGAATAAGTTAATTAATTTTCAGCGGCTGGTGAAAGTGAATTTTCATATCTATGGGAAAAGATCGAGCCTCCGAGCGAATTTAGCAATGCTCTTTGTCACGTACCCATTGCTTGCCGCTTCGTCTCTTAATTTCAAGCATAAATAAATGTGAATCGCGTCTAGTGTGCCCATATTCTCCTCGCGCCCAATAAAAATAATCCAGACACATGGGAGGTGATTGCTTCGATCAATATTTAAAATAAAACAATACGAGTCGTTCGTCGTAATTACTCTATATCATCTCGCTAACGTTGGAAATAGATTTGCCGAGGCTTTAATGGAACACGGAGGTGAAGCCGTCCAGGATCGCCAGCATAAATCGAGCGCGACTAAGGCTTCCCCCGTCCAGGCTAACGAAGCCTCTCCAACCAGCAAATAAAGAGCAAATAAGCATAAAGGGACCGAGTCCGTCTGCGCTCCTAAGCAATACAGATGGAATACCAACCTGTTTGATTACAACCCGATAGATATGGGCGTAGAAAGCAGCGATGAGGAGGGCCGGGAAGATAATTGTAGCGAAGTAGAGGAAGACGAGGTAATCGTAGTCCATGACCTCGGTGAAGATGCATTTCTCGTCCGACTTGTGACCCGCGTTCCATCCGAGTAGCGGCAAAAAGCCGACCAATGTCCCCGCCACCCAGCAGACGCATATGATGCCTGTGGCCAACAGGATAAAATTAGGATTCACAGGTCCGCGAGACGTCTTTCCTCATATTTATCGTATCGTCTTGTCTCGCTGCCATCTCGCACTGGCAAATATACCGACGCCGTCAAATTAATTACTTGCTTTATCTTGGCTTTTTATGCTAGCCCAAGTCGACGCAACATCGTAATTGGCATGTATTATAGTTGGGGGGGGGGTAATTTATCAATTTAATATAACAACATCGAAAATGGTTAATTAAGTGACAATGCCATGGCTGGGACTTTTTCGATGAAATTTCGTTTTCAATAGCTACAAATCGCTCATCTTATGTGAAAAGAAAGCTTCGTAACGGTTTTATTGTTATACGCACAGTTTTCATCCAGCCAATGCGCTTTTTGGCTCTTCATTTTAGAAAAAAAAAAAAAAAAAAACCCCAAATTATCCGAACTTTGGAACGTACTGCTCGTGTCGTGTAAGACGCTACTTGAAGATTAATTCCTAAAAGATTTTAATTGACGATTAAATAAGAAAGGGAAAATGAAGGAGAAATACATCGATTAGAAATTCATCACTTTGCTTAAAAATTTCAAATTTATGGGCAATGTATTTTTGCTACTATTGATAAGCAATTGCCTATTAATGAATTAACTTTAACGATTAATTCCTTCACCTTTTCTTGATCGTCGGCTTAATAATCAATGAGACAGTATATTCTTAAGGCTTACATTGAAAATTATTATTGAAATTAGCGAATGAATGATTTTTCATTAGTATAACTTGTATTTTTTACACATCTCCGTAATAATAACCTAGAAATAACAATATAATGATTAATCGACTGTATAAATTGTTGACACATTATGCTCAATTTATTCGGCAATGTTGTATTTTTTCATATTTTGCCTTTTACTGAGGCAGTGACAAAACTAATGATTAAGCAGGCGTTGTTATATGTCATATTATGCTGATTATTATATTATTTATTAAAATTTTACCAATACAATTGGAGGTGTCGAGTATCGTTAAATGCTAAGCTATAAATAATATCGTTTGAAAATTTTCAACACGAGCTAATTATTATTAATAGAATAGTGTATGTAATAGATAATTTGATGTTTTTTCTAGTTCATTTCTATCAATTATTATGACAGATCGTCGATAAAATAATTGCAGTATAGATAATCAATACATATTAACTTCCAAAAGTTTGTAGGGGGTCACTTGGCAATTAATTAAACTTATTCGATAAATCAATTACCGTTATTGAATATCGTTTCGAATAATCCAATGATATCTCGAAATTATTATCACATAAAAGGAAATTCACAATAAATGTTCACCCGTAAACTTACTATAATTATCAATAATAATAATAATAATAATAATAATAATAATAATAATAATAATAATAATATAAGTATTAAATAATTATTTGAAAATTCATAAGTTTATTTATTTATTTATTTATTTTTATTTCATAAAAATGTGTAAATTATTAAAAGTATATATATATATATATATATATATATATATATATATATATATTCTAAAGTGGAATGAAGAACTTGGACATAAAAAAGTAGATAGGCGACACGTATTACGATTACTAATTCCCCTTTAAAAATAAAGTGTAAATATACCTTTCATAATATTTAAAATAAGCGATACATACGAAAGAAAAAAAAAATAAATAAACTATACGATATTAAACACGTCGAATGATAATTTATAAAAAGAAAAAAAAAAGTAAGCGTTTCGAAATGTCCGATGTCTATTAAGAAGCAATGAAAATATTTAATACGACATTATTATTACTCCGAAGATAAAAATAAATATCCAAAAATAAAACAAACTCTGTAATTTTATACGACGATAATTCCTGGCATCGTTAAATTCAATAAATTTCATATTTTTCATATTTTATGCTCATGATCTTGCCTTAAACATTAAAAATTTATCTTACTTGGACAAAATTTTTTAATATCAACCCACGTAATTACAAATCTTCAATAACATTTAGATTTTAGATAAAAATATTGTAGACTAATCGGTCGATCTATTAAATAATCTCTTACGATAAAGGCATAAAGCTATCCTTACGATTTAACAAATTTATTTATATTATTAATTTTATGAAACTTTAAAGGAAAAGAAATACTTTATGAGCTAATTAACTTGTTCCGTTCACAACTAATGTTGTTCAGTGCCATTTCCTACTTTATTTGCTAAAATTATCTTTAAGTGTATAATAAGCTTTTATTTATAGATTTATTATTCAAAGCATATCTAAATAATTAATGCGAATTTTAAAAAATTCTTATATTTATATAAGCATATGTTAAGTATTATACCTTCGCATATAAAATTTTTTATAATTTAATGAAGTTTCAAAGAAGTTTTAACAAAGCAGATATTTATGATTTAAGGTGTAGAACATTAGCCTTATTAATTAAACGGTGTATGTAACATAATTTGGCAATAAAATAAATATATGAAACAAACATATATAAATATGTAAATTGTACGTTAATATACATTAAAATGATAGATTTGTAATGGAAATAGTACTTATTCTATAATATATTCAAAATTTTTAAATGAATCGTTAATTTTATGATCTCAGTTTAATCGAATGAATTTATAGATATAAATAAATGAGTAAATGATAACGAGACATTTTATAAATAATAAGTAGGCCATGTAATTTTGATGATGCTAATAAAATTATTAAACTATAAAACAATACGATATATACTGAATTGAAAATATATAGTCTTGAACCAAATATAATTTGAATAAGCAGAAAATTTAATTCCTATCATTCAAAGTATTTATTTTTCTATTTTTCTAGTTTTATGATTAACATTAAAAAGATATTATTAAGAGTTATAACAGAATGTCCATGTGTTTATTAATTCATTAAACGAAACGATGAAGAAGTAACGATCAACTAGTTATTTTAATATAATAATATTTATTAGTACTTTAGAATTTAAAGTAATATAAATTAGTATTAAACTTCACTTTATAAATTTATCCGATATAACGTATAATTAATAAATTTTATCACAATTATTATAATTGATTAATCGGCATTTTCAAAGGAAAAGTTGTAAACAAATAATGACTATTATCATTTTCTTAAGTCTATTGTCCAACATAATTTTTACTTACTTTTCATTCAAATTCAAATATGATTTATAGATTTAAATCTTTAATCCTTGTATATTTAGTATTACTTTTATCTAATTCGTATACATGTATGTAAAAGCAAAATAATAATAATAGAGAGAGAGAGAGAGAGAGAGAGAGAGAGAGAGAGAGGTGTGTGTAGGGTAGAAGAGTAAAAGTCGCTTATATCGATTAACCGTTACGTGCGATTCTTTTTTTTCTTTTCATCTCTAGCAAGTTACTTCTCACTTCTATCTGTCTCTCTTTCATACGTGCTCCTTCGCACCCGCCCATACACAAACACGCACGCACTCACACACGCACCCACACCTAAATATACATACATATATATATATATATATATATGCATATATGTATACGTGTACGTATACATGTGCATATACACATTTCTGTTCACTTTTTATTCTCTCTCGTTCTCCCTCATTCGGTTTCATTCGCATTTTCTACCTCTAGTGAAGATACCCCCATGCGTGCTTGTAATTAAAATCCTGTCGGGAAAATAGCACATAACCACCAGTGTATGACGTGCACGTATAGTAAATTAAATTAGTTACAAAGAAGAGAAAAAACAAAATGTAGCATAAGGGAGGAGAAAGAGAATGAAAGAAAAGCGTGAACGAGAGTCACGAAATTCAACAAAAGTGAAAATTGTTAATGATTGAAATGTAAATGAAAGAAATGTAGTTTTATAATTTTAGATATTTATTACTTGTATAAGTATTGTACACTGTTATCATTATGTATTGCAATTATATTAGCGTAAATTATATGTACAATATTATTAATATTAATATTTAATATTAATATTTTTGATTTCAAATGTAATCATAATATATAATTATGAATGAATCAAGCAATCAAAATATGTGGAATTGGCATACATTGTTTAATTATACATTTTTTTTTAGAAATTCAACGAATCATATGAGAGTGTCTAACAATTGAATAAAACGTTCGATGTTCTTCCTTTTGACATGAAAAATAAATATTTTCATGAAAGAAATTTAAATAATTTTTTCCTAAACGTTTAACTTCATCAATCCCCTCGTTCTCATGACTTAGTTTTATGAAGTTGCGCATCGTAATTAATACGATTAAAAACATTAATTTGAATTAATATTGGTTGGATATTCATTTTAGAATTGTCAAATAGCTTGCAAATCTCAATTAAAATAAATTTGTCAGACATTAGATAATCTCGTTAGCATGAAATGATTAATGATGTTTGCATAAGCCGTTCGTTGTTGAAAAAAAAAAAAAAAAAAAAAATACTGTAATAAAAGTTAAAACTTACTTGAATTGAAGTAAGTAATCTTATTAAATTTTTCAATTTTGTCGCTTTTCTTGTAAATGTTGTAAGCGCATTTTGTGTTATTTATGCATTCTTAGACAATGTGATTGAAAATATATGTATACCTAATAAATATAGGATATAAGTTGATTCAATATCGATCCATAATTAATAACAACAAAAACTTATAAATTTTTGGCAATATATATTAAAATTATTATTAAGTATATTATATTAAGTACAAATGTATCAAACTTTAATATAATTGTTTACATAATATATATGATAATACATATAATTGATTTATATGATGACCTTCATTTTGAATTTCAATAATTTTCTATGATGATTATAGAAAAAATTTTATCAAAGCTTAGATGTCTTTGCTGCGATACAAAAATTTATATCAAATAAAAACATTTTTTTTTTTTAATTTCTTTAATGAACTATCAATTATCAAAATTTTGTAATTAATGTTCGAATATTCAATAATTATATATTATTAAATACAAAAACGCTAATTAATAT